CAGAAAGGATTACAATGGATTTCACTTAGTTCGGTACCCCCCTCCCCGCTCCCCTCTTCTTTTTTAAACTTAATTTGTATTACATTCATGTTTCTAGGCATGTTAAAAAATTGCAGAGAATTCAGCAAATCATTTTTCCAGAACACTAGGCTCTGTTAACATGTAGGGTATGGAGTGGTAAATAAAGAACTCAAAAGGCAAAAGAAGACAAAACAAAACAAAACAAAGGCAGTGACATATCTGGTGTTCATCAATTTCAAGAGCCATTAAGCAATATGCACTGCATCCTTCTTATTGTCATCCCCTCTGTGTGTTTCACAGACTACTGGGGGGTAGGTTTCTCTCATCAGATAGAAATTCAAACTATACTCGTGTTATCTTCATTTATATTTTTCAAGATTTATATATGTCCTAGCTCATTTTTTAACCATCTGAGCCACCCAGGCGCCCCTGTCCTAGCTCATTTTTTAAAAAACGTTAACTCACCCCATGAATGAACTTTTTTCTTGTGCTTAAGATTTTCTTAAAGATAGATAAGATATTGACTGATATTTAGTGGTTAGAACAGTACTGTCATTGTGCTGAGAAAGAAAATAATGGAGTGGAGGTAAAGGAGAGTCTATTGACTTTTGAATATTTAGGATCTTTTTCTTTCTTTCTTTCGAGTTAATTTATTTATTTGAGAGAGAGAGAGAGCATGCACAAGCACAGAGGGAAGGCAGAGGGGGAGGGGCAAAGCACAGAGCCCCATGCTCGGGGCTTGATCCCATGACCCTGAGATCATGACTGAGCTGAAATCAAGAGTCTGATGGTCAGCCCACAGAGCCACCCAGGCACCCTGAGTATTTAGGATTTTTAAACCAAAGGCACATTGTTCAAGATTTGCAAATAAATTTGGAATGTACTTATAGAGAATGTTTTAAACATAAGGTGATGTTTTGACCATTCGGCTAGGATCTGGAAGCCCTTCCCAGTGACTGGCACTCCAGGGAACATGTTTGGCTGGATTCTGAACATCCCTCCCTGCTTTCTACCTGACTCAGAGCTGGGTCTACTCTATCAGGTCTGAGATTATCAAGAGTTACCTGGAGAAGGCCAGAGGGTCTCACACAAAGCTGGACCCTGTCTTCTATTTGTAGATCACCAGATGACCTCCTCCAAAAGAGAGGACAAAGAAAGGAGCAAGGAGCTAAGGCACCTCGTAGAGGCAGTGATTTTATGTGTCTTCTTAATTATTACATTCTCAGTGGCAAGGAGGACATGCCTAGGAAGACACAGTAAGCATGCCATAAATGTTTGTGAAACAAATAAACTTACTCCTCACGGTAATACTGACAGCAATGAATTAACACCAATTTACTGAAGAAGCTCAGACTGGTAAGTGGAAAAACTGGGATTTGAACCTAGGGCTAGATCTTTCCACTATATTACATGATTTACTGGAAAGTCCTCTCCCCCAACAAATTCAAGTCATTCCAAGAGACTTCTTGAATACAGATATCTTCCTTTGCCACAACTTTAAGTGATCTCTGCGCAAAAATTTGCAGAAGGTCCACCATAAGCTAAAGCAGCCAACCAAATAATCTAGGCTTTAATAGATATTTTAGGAAGCATCCAGCTCAACTTCCCAACCAAAGAGGAAGAAAATGTATATTACTTTCCACAATGCCTGGCACATGCTAAGTGCTTAGTAAGCATTAATTCCTCATAATGCAAGCAGCTCACGGTAGGCTGAGGTCCCAGTCTTGGCCAGAACACTTTCATTTGCTATATTACAACTTTATGAGATATTGTATTTTGATAAAGAACAGTTCCCCCTTGAAATGTAAACAATCATGAAATCAGTGACTTTGTTTTGTTCACTGATGCACACTCCTAGTGCAAGAATAGGGCCTTTTCTGTGGCAGGTACCAAAAAAAAAAAAAAAAAATCTATGTTTTGAATATATGATGAGTGTGTGAGTAGTTGTTGAAGGGTTTTAGAAACAGTAATTGCTAAAGAAATCCAGAGGAGTAGCTGGTGCCCCAGCATGGCTGGTGGCCCCTGGGGGCATCATTTGAAGTTATGTGATACTGTGGTAGATGAATGGTTCTCAAGCTGTGGTCTGGGCTCTGCATAAGAGTGTCCATGATCTGGCCCAAATGACAGGTGTAGGATGAACTCATAAGAAAGGTTGGGAAACTCACCAACCACAAGATGCACTGTGATCTCCCTCCTTCTCTTGCTACTCCTCTTCCTCAACCCTCCCATCCTCTACTCCATAGAGAACCCAGATTTGTACCCCATCACCCTTACCTCTGCAGCATGAAATGAAATGAAATCAGGTCATCAAGGAATCCATAAGATGAAAATTGAGAAGAAAAATCTATTTTAATTGGTCATATGCCCTGGGCCGGGGGTGGGGGTGGCGAGTGTTGGTGCTTTTGGCAGCTGATTCTTAAATGAGAAAACAAATGAGGAAAATCTTAAAAAAATTAATACCTTTGACTTTTAAAAAAGAAATCGAATAGCTTTGTGTTATCTTCTGTAACCTTTATAAATCCTTCACTGAGGGTGTTTCCTACAGAATCTCTGAAAAACATTATATCACATGACACTACCACCAGATTTCATAATTAAAGAAGAAAAGCGGGTGCCTGGGTGGCTCAGTTGGTTAAGCTTAAGCATCTGGCTCTTGATTTTGGCTCAGGTCATGATCTCAGGGTCCTGGATCGAGCCCCACATCAGGCTCCCCAGTCAGTGGGGAGTCTGCTTGTCTCCCTCTCCCTCTGCCCCTCCCCCTGCTTGCTCTCTCTGTCTCTCTCAAATAAATAAATAAATCTTTAAAAAAAAAAAAGGAAAGCATCTTTCTAGGTGTAGTACACTCCAAGCCCACCGTAGCCCCAATTCTGTGTATTTGCTCACAAAATGTTGACTATGTCCCTTGGATATTTGTTGATCAAAGTTCCAGCCATGCTGCTGAAAGGGTGTTCTGTTCTGTTTTCAAAGTGATTATTAAGCCACTTTAAAAACACTTTAACTTGTGGGTTTGCCTCACTCTATTTGAGTCCAAATTTCACAACCATGTAATGAAGCAAGCCTTATGGTACTGTCTATGTCATCCTAATTTATCAGGAAAACATAATCTTGCACATCTTTTCCAAGTGCCTCCCCCCACCCCTATAGCCATGTCCAGGGCTGTCTGTCTTTTTTTCTGGCTTGGTGTGTGCCCTGGGTTCCAGGATTGAAGGCTCACTGCATCAAACCTATAAGGTTGCAAATCTCCTTTACCACTTTCCTACTAGCCTGCCCCCTTTTCCTGTTCTCAGCCTTCAGACACTTCTGTGTTCTTGGAGTAATCAAGGTTTTATTGTAAAAATGTATCTGAATCCCCCAAAGAGCTCTGAAATATTTGTATCGTTTTTCTGTCTGCTTCAATGGGTATTTTGTCTGAATTGTGAGCATGGGAAACATAAAAAGAAAAAATTAAAAAGAAATATGTAGACTGTAAGACTTGGTAAGAAAACCATGAACAATGTTTCAGTGAGTAAACCATGAAAAAAGAACACATTTAACCAATCTGCTATTTTCTTTATGATTTGCTCCTATTGGAATGACTGAACATTTATTTAGACTTCAGATATGATCTTCACGTAGTTTAAGCACTGGACTATTTTACTTTAGAATTATTTGACCAATTTTAAAAGATACTTAATCATATTAAAAATGTATTTAAAAGAGATCATCAACCATTTCTTTCAGAAACATCAATTTCCCAAGTTTTCCTGACTATTTATGGCCCACAAAGTGCAAAGGGCCTTAGTTTCCATGCATGATTCTGATATACTTTATAAAAGTGAATTCAGGAATTTCCAGATTATTGTTCTTAGCTAACTTCTATCAGTGATAAAAGAATCCAATGGTCCATATCGTATTAACCGAGGACAGAAATATCTACTCTACCTGGTATTTTAAAGAACAGTTGCTAAGCACAGAATGAAACAGAAAGAGAACCAAGTCTTGGGAAAGGCACTTGACCCCTCTGGGCTTAGGAGAGATCCAAGAGGTTAGACTTCACACTGGATCATTCATATTCTTTCACTTTTTGCCACACCTGCATGAAAACGGTTTACCTGATAAATTCCGCCCCCTCCCACTTTCAGAAACATTGAGCTAAATGAATTTTAATGTTCACTTTTTACATCTTTGGTTTTCCTTTTTAAGGTTCCTTTCTGTGGAGCTGTGGGATCTATTTAATGAAGCAGCAATACCTCTCCTTAGCTTTGACCGGAAAAGGCATAATCAAAAGCCGTTTTTATGGCGTTTATCTCATATTCAGAGAAAATAGATGTCAAGTGTCAGAACAAAATAAGTTGTGTATCAAAGTCAAAGTCTTCATCCTTTTGTCTATTTGAAAAAGCCACCTATTCTTCAGCTGATGGATTCCTAAGAATTCCGATTAGTTTTCTTCCTGTCTTCATGTTGAGTTTGATCTTACTTAGCATGTGAGTGCAGTTCCTCCTCTCTCCCTTTTCTTGATATTATTTGTGGCTCACAATCCTTCGGGTTTCTTTCTCACGGCATCTTAGATCCTTATGATTTCTGAACACTTTTTTAATGTTTGAATTTGAATGTTGACATGTTTCTATGAAGAAAGGAAGTGATCACCGCGAGCCATCGGATATATTTTTAAGAAGAAATCTGGAAATCTAGAAAGGAAGTTACGAGAATGCTGAAAACCCAGAGAGATATCCTACAGGAAACCAAAATTTAAAAAGGAGGTTGCAAGAAAACCTCAGACATTCCATAAGTTTTGCATGACACCCAAGAGTTCTATTTTTTTTTTTTTCCATTTTTGGCTCACCCATCTGTTATTTTGATTTATTAATTTTTTTTGGCAACACTGTTGACATGCTGTCTTTCATATAAATTTACAACTTTAGCCCTTTCTGGAAATAGAAGCTTTTTCTAATTTCCCTTAAAACATGAGTCACTGGATGGAAGTCATGCAGGATAGGACAGGGGAGAGGAGGGAGGTGGGAATGAAAAGGGGGCTAGTCACTCAGCGCTGCCTCACGTACGTGGATGTGAGCCACTCGGATGGGCGCATGCATGCTGAGAGTCCACTGCACCAGCAATCCTGTGCTCCTGCTTGGGGTTCTTGTGAATAAGTGAAGCTGCAGGTTTTCCTAGGGGTAGCTCTGTCCTGAGGAACACACATTCTCCTGTCTCGGCCCTACTGAGAAAAAAAGAGGTAAAGGTTAAAAATGTCCTCTGTTCAGTTTTTAGTAAAACGAACTTCGTACAATTCAGTTGTATGATAATTTTAGGAGTACGAAAAGAAAGAAGTGGTACTATCTAGACACTGTATAAACAGAAGTTATTCTGCAACCACATGCAACCCACCCTATCAGAGGGTGACTTAATTAGACTGCAGTGGGACCTGGGTGTGGGTTTCTTTCTAAACCCCAAGGCGATTTTCAGGTATAACTAAGTTTGAGAACCATAGATGTAGAATGAAGGGCTAATTCTTAGCTGTTTATTTTCATTTTAACCATGGTTATTAAAGTATAGCTTTTTAAATAATGTGGTGTTATGCCAATATTTCTTTAACCATTTTCAACCTCTTCTGCAAATAACACCATATAAAGGCTTCATCAATTTAGATTATTTTTTAAAAAAAGATTTCAATAAACAACCCTGACTACCCCATCTTCTAATTCTGTCAAATCCTATTTACTCTATTTTCTTCTTCCAAATGAGTTTAGCATTCTGGGCTGATAGCATCTAAAAGAAAAATAAACCTGTGGAGAGAGAAGTATTACAAAGAAAATAAAAATCCTATTTCATACCCTGGATAAATAAATCAATTAACTTGAAGTATGGCTAAATTCCTTACTTGATAAAGGGTATCTCCCTAATGCTAATAAATACAAACATGATATTTATTAATAAAATATAAGAAATATTGGCTTTGAATTCAGCAATAAGACAAGGATGCTTGCTGTCAATACTTCCGTTCAACATTGTTAAGAGATCATAGTTGTCAGAGTAAGGCAAGATGAACAAGTTATAAATAATGGAAAGAAAGAAATAAAACTGACAATATTCATAGATGCTACACAAGAAAATCCATGAGGAACTTCAGACAAATTATTCGGATTAATTACAGCGTACAACAAGGTTGCAGGATATATCAAGATACAAACAACCATTACCTTCCTTGATATTGGTGACAAATAGGGAAATTTCCATTCTTAAAAACTGACATTTACAATAGCTGCAAAACCCCAAACAACTTATGGCCAAAGGTAACAAAATTTGGGCTAGACATTTATGAATAAACTTACAAAACTTTATTTAAAAATAATTACTGGGACTCCTGGGTGGCTCAGTCGTTAAGCGTCTGCCTTCGGCTCAGGTCCTGGGATCGAGCCCCGCATCGGGAGTCCCTGCTGGGCGGGAAGCCTGCTTCTCCCTCTCCCACTCCCCTTGCTTGTATTCCCTCTCTCACTGTCTCTCTCTCTGTCAAATAAATAAATAAAATCCTTAAAAAAATAAGATAATTATAAAGACTGAAATAAATGGAGAGAAAAAAACATTTATAGAAACACATCATATTACAAAGATGTTGTTTTCTTCCCTAATTAATTTATGAATTCAGTGCACTGTCAATAAAAATTTTGTAAAGAATATGTGATAAATGAATTCTAAAATGTACATAAAATAACAAAGGTACAATGAAAGTCAAGCCAATTTTGAAGAAGAGCATATTAGAAAAGGAACTTGTCCCAATATAAATAAAAAATTATTATAAAAGTAGAGCAGTTAAAATGTTGTGTAACTATCACAGAAAAATATACTAATAGACAGAATTGAAATATATGACAAAGTGGCATTGCTAATTGGTGGTAAAAGATATACTATCCAATGTCTGACACTATGGAACAAAATCCAACGGAATCATTAGTATCCACAGAAATCAATTGCAGTTGGAGTCTCCTGGGTGGCTTAGTTGGTTAAGTGTCTACCTTCGGCTCAGGCCATGATCCCAGAGTCCTGGGAGTCCTGGGAGTATTGGGATTGAGCCCTGTGTGGGGCTCCCTAACTCAGTGGGGAACCTGCTTCTCCCTATCCCTCTGCCCCTCCCCCTGTTTCTACTCTCTCTCAAAAAATAATTTTGAATTTATATGATATTACCATTTAATACATAAATAATTTATAAATAATAAATATTATTTATATATTTATTTTTTATTATTTAGAAAAAGGATATGAAAAGGTGATTCATAGAAAAGAAAAACCATCAAAATAGACAATAAATTTACAAAAATATTCTCAATACAAATCAGAGAAATACCAATGAGATGTTATCTTACATCCATCAGATTGGTGAAAATTAATTTTGACAATGCAAAATGTGGCATGTAGGAAGAAAAAGATATATAGCAGTTAAAACAAATAAATTATAGCCATGGTTTTTAGTTTGGGAGGTGAGGGATAATTTTGTCCCCACAAAGAATAATGGGTAATGTCCGGAGACATTTTTGTTGTCACAACTGGGCTGGGGACATAGAGGTGCATATTATTGGCATCTAGTACTGTTGTTTCACAATAGAGAATTCTTTTGCCCAAAATGTCAATAATGCTGAGCTTGAGAAACCCAGAATTAGAGCTACAATCACCATGGATTATTATCATAAAAAGTAAAGATGATTTATCAGTTTTTTTCTGTGATGTTTTTGGGGTTGTATTTAGGCACATTTTGTCTAGCCCAAAGTCTCTTATATTTTCTTCTAAACATTTTAGCTTTACATTTTTGAATTTCACTCAGTTCAAAATATTTGTTAATTTCCCTTGAAACTTTCATTTTGACTCATGTGTTACCTCAACCCATGGATTTAAATTCCAAAATGTCTGAGTATTTGGAAAATTTACAGATATATTTCTATTTTATTTCTAGTTTACTTTGGTTATGGTGGGAGAACATACCTTAAATTTTTAAAAATATATCACGTTTTGTTTTAAGGCCCATGATATGATCTATCTTAACAAATGATTCATGTGTGAAAAAAATGTGTATTTTGTTGTTGTTGGATAGAGTGCTTGGCAATTGTGATTTAGGTCAAGCTGGTAGATGGTGTTGAGTCTTCTGCACATTGCTGACTTTATGTATACTTGTTCTATTGATTGCTGAGAGAAGAGTATTCAAGTCTCCAAATATATTTGTGGGCATATCTATTTCTCCTTGCACTGCTATCCATTTTTGTTTTATGTATTGTGAAGCTCTATTGTTAGGTACAAACACATTTAGGACTGTTATGTCTTCTTGGTGATAGACCATTTTGTAATTATTTAATGTTCCTCTTTATCCCTAAAATATTCCTGATTCTGCAATCTACTGTGTATTAATATAACCCCTCCACAGGGCACCTGGGTGGCTCAGTCAGTTAAGCATCTGCCTTCAGCTCAGGTCATGATCTCAGGGTCCTCCCATTGGGCTCCCTGCTCAGCAGGGAGTCTGCTTCTCCCTCTTCCTCTGTGTGCTCTTTCTCTCTCTCAAATTAATTAATTAATTAATTAAAAAATATTATAGCCCCTCCAGCTTTCCTTTGATTAGCATTCATATTGTATTTCCTGTTCCATCTTTTTACTTTTAACTTATATGAATCATTATATTTAAAATGTGTTTCTAATAGAATAATGTTTGATCTTTTTCTTAAATCCAATTTGACAATCTGTACCTTTTAATTAATGTTGGAATCATTTATAAATTATAGATACGGTTGAATTTAGGTCTACCCTATGATTGTTTTCTCTTTGCTCCCTTTGGTTTTTTTCCACTTTTCCCTCTTCCTGATTTTTTTTTTGGATTACAAGAATATTTTTAGTATTCCATTACAACTTATTAATTGGTCTTTTGATAATATCACTTTGTATTAATTCTTAGTTGTTGATCAAAAAAATTGCAATATATATACCTTAACTTTCCAAAGTTTACTTAAAATTAATATTTTACCATCTCAAGTAAAATGTAGAAGTCTTGCAACCATATAAATTCTTAAGATACTTCCCCAAGATATTTACCATTTGAGATGTTTTTATCTCATTCCTGAAGTTCCAAGCTTCTCTTTGTTATCACTTCTCTTCAGGCTGGAAAACTTCCTTCAGCATTTTTTTAACATGTCTGCTGATGATGAATTCTTAGTTTTCTTTCATCTGAGGTCTTTATTTTGCTCTCATTCCTGAGGATATTTTCAGGGTTGACAGTTCTTTTCTTTCAACACTATAAAGATGTCGCACTCTCTTCTGGCTTCCAAAGTGTCTAGATATGAGAAGCCATCTTTCAAATAGTTTTCCCCATATGTAGTGTATCATTTTTCTCCCCTCTGGCTGCTTTCACATTTTTTTCTTTATCTTTGGTTTTCAAAAGTTTGAATTTGATGTGTCTGGGCATGACTTTCTATGAATTTATCCTGTTTGGGATTTGCTGGGCTTCTTAAATCTGTAAATGTATGCCTTCTACCATATCTGGGCAATTTTTAGTCATTATTTATTCAATAGTTTTTCAGCATCAATAGCATTCTCTTTGTTAATTGGGACTCCAGTGACACAAATGTTAGATATTTTCCTAATGATTTCTGAGGCTGTGTTTATTTTTTAAAGTTTTTTTTCCCTGCTATTCTGGGATAATTTGGATAAATTGAATAATTTATATTGATTTATCTGTAAGTTTGCTGACTCCTTTATTATCTCCATCATACTACTGAGCCTGCCCAGTGAATTGTTTAGTTAAAATGTTATGTTTCTTCCATTCTAAAATTTTCATTTGCTTCTTTTTTTAAAGTTTCTATTTTTCTGCTGTGAGCTTCTGTTTTTCCATATCTCATTAATGTCTACTTTTATCTTATGGGAAATGGTTAATAATGGTGGTTTAAAATCTTTGTTTAAAAATGTGTTTAAGGCTTTTATTTCTGAATCATGGATTTTACTGTATCTTGAACGTTTTCATGAATCTTTAGTTTTCTGGTCTATTTCTTTTTTAGGAAGTGAGTATGCAGACAAAATCATTTCCTGTGATATTCTTGGACATTCTAGGATCACCAGTCAAGTAAAATGACAGAACAATGGTCAGGACTTCTATGTAATACTTAAATTATATATTCAGACCTATACACTAATCTGAATTTCCACATTGGGAAATGCACAGCAGAACATCAACTGTTTATGCTCTTATCACCATAAACCCCCAAATATGACTATTTATCTCTTCTTTCTTACTGTTTTTCAGCTCTCAACTGTAACTATTTAACACTAACTTGTAATTACCTACCCCTCCCCCTACTTCTTTCAGCTCCTCTCAACCTCCATATTACTCTCCAATTCTTCAATAGTTTCAAGGAGTATTAAAGAACTCCTTATTTACACCAGTGCTACCCAAAGTCACTAGCAATGTCCAGCATCACCTAGGAACTTACTAGAAATGTAAATTCCCAGGTCCCCTACTCAAACCTATTGAGTTAGAAACTCTGGGGGTTGGACCCAGGAATCATTTTGAACAAGATCTCTCAGTCATTCTTCTGTGTGTTAAAGTTTGAGAAGCACTGGTCTAGGTGACAAATTCCTTAAGCTAATTTGAATAGCTGAGAAAACACTGGGGAGCTGATAAAATTTAGCAAATGGAAGAGGAAGCAGAGTTGCTATCAAAGACAGAACAGAGAGTGGTCAGACAGACAGCTCTCAGACAACCAAGAATGGGCATGGAGGGAGCTGAAAAGTCAGTGGGGATGATCCTAAGAGTGGCTATCAGATCTTTCGAGGTGTCAGATAGTACAGACATAAGGGCAAAAGAACATGCTCATAGATTACTTCAGGCAGTTACAGGAATATATGCATTATCAACTCCACATTGTTGTTGTAGAGTAAGAAAGTGGGGAGAATTCTTTTTTTTTTTTTTTTTTTTTTTTTTGGTATCTTGATAAATAAGCCAAATCCCTAAAATGACTTGACCACCATGTCATATTAGTAGTAGAAGTTGAACCTACAGTTGAGGTTGGGGCCTCTGTGATTTTAGTAATTGATAGGTGATTTTAGTAATTGATAGGTGATTTTAGTAATTGATAGGTGAGCCTAGACAAGTCTTACTGTGAGCAGTTCATCACCAACACTAATAATTTAAAAGACTGGGTAATAGGACATTACTTTATTCACCCAAGAATACCTTCCTTGTTACCAAACTTTTGGAAATAATGACTGAACAAATGGTAGTTGCAGAGACTGATTACTTGTTCAGACAATGTGAGTCCTGGGGGAGGTGAGTCTTCAAAAACTCCCCTTATGCACTCAGCGCTTTTAAAAGTACCTGTTTGCTAGAGACAAAAGCTTTACTATTTTCAAAAACTAGTTTGTGGTTAACACTGGAAATACAGTTGTTAAATCAATCCCAAATCCCTAGAGAGTATCCTAGAACGAATTTAGAGTGATTTGTCATCCCTTTACATTACCAACAGGCAGAATAGACTTTGACCCAAGGTGCTTGGGTGTAGCCATGTTTATATAATAATTAAGACTAGGATTTGAGCTTCAGCGTTGATAGGTAGTATTAAGGTGGAGATAACAGAGTCTCTAAAGCCAATTTTGCAGTTCAATGTAGCCTCATTGATCTTATTTTAATAACTCCATTCATTTTGCTCTGGAAAGCATTCCCATTTAGTTTTCTCTTCACGGTTTGCTGTGATAGATGCAAGCATAAAAAGTCTGAAAGTAAAAAGACTCTAAGAGGGGGATTTAGGAAGTCTTAAAGCAAAGAATCTCTAAAGCCAGGTTACCACCCCAGGTGTCAGGAATAAGAAGTCCCTCTTGCAGTAGGAGAGGGGAAGGACCCCTCTTGCATAAAGGTCTGGAGAGGAAAGTTAGACAAGGTAACTAGTTCCTTTAATGGGTCCCATGAATGAAGTGGGGTGGATCAGATAGTCTTTTTTTCTAAATCTAAAATGGATAAGTAATAGGCTATCTCACTAACCTGAGGAAGCCTAGTCATGGGAAGCCAGGCACATGAGGTGGTTATTCTGGAAGATGCTCTCTACGTATTCCAGATCACAGCCAAAGCACTGATTGATATGGGAGAGCAATGTCCCAGATCTGGTGAAAGAGCTCGCACCACTGAGAAGGGAAGTAGGCTTCTGGTCTCCAAAATTCTTAGGAAGGGTGGATGGTCAGAACTGAGGAGGGACACTGGAGGTAGAAGCTCAAGGCAGATGGCAGGGAAGTGGCATTTCTGCGTTTTGGTAACAACCAGGGCTTGGTAGTGAAGTGTTATTCTAGTAGGCCAACCTGGGGCCATCAGATTCTGACTGTCCAGTGGGGAACCTGAAATCATAGTCTCCCTTTTGTGTCAAACAATCTATTCCTTCTTTTTTCTTAGAGTCTCTCTCTCTCTTTCTCTTTATGCCATATTTACTCCTGACTAAGAGAATAGAATGAAGCTAAAGTTCATTCCTTCAGATTCATGGTTTGTACGGTCTCGCCTTGTTCCCATTCCTGCCTGCTTATTCAGCTCTCTTCCCAGGCCCTGCGGCTTGCACAGCACTCCATTTCCATGCAGAGCTTAGACAGCTTTCTTTTCTCTCCCTTGTAAATGCAGCCTGCCCTCACCCCACCTCCTGGCCCCCCACAAGGAAGGAAGAACAGGCAGAAAAACTGAGAAAGTCTTAGCCAGGCCTAGGAATTCTCAATACTGTGTCTATTTCTGCCTTGGATTTTGCTGCCCCATTAAAGCATTTATCTGAAGTTTCCCATGCATATGTTAGCAATTACTGGTGTAACCTGTCACTGCTTAGAGAAAAATCTGCAAAAAAAAAGACATCATATTCAGTGCCTTTTCCTCTCCTTCAACTTTTTCTTTTTGTATAGGCAGTGCCAAAACAGCTGATAATATCACTTCGAGGAGGAAATTTCATAGAGACTGGGTTTCATTAGCGTTGAATAAAAGGAGTGCTCTGGGAAATCTTGATGTCCCTGGGAGTCATTGACTCTTCTCTCCGGGCTTCTCTTCCAAAGTCAGGTCTCCCTGGGATCCTATCATGTCTAAAAAGAGGTGGGTTTCCTCCTAGGAGGATGCTGTGTGTACCAAGCACAGAGAGAGCCCAGAGGCAGTGGAGTCCCTGAGCTGTGGGTGGACCCTAGACATTGATCAGATATCTGATCAAGTTCTCACATAGCCCTAAAGAAGTGTTGGAAGCCAAAAAACAAAACAAAACAAAACAAAACAAAACAAAAAAACAAGAAGTGTTGGAAGCATTTCCACCCACTGGCGTGTGACAATGGTTGAGATAGTTTTCTTGACCTATCACACATCTCCTTGAATTCTTCATCACCTTTCTCACCTAGAAAGGCCTTCATTTACACCTTTGCACATCTGGTGCTTTGGAGCAATTGTGTTATGGGAAAACAACCAGGGAAAACACTTTTGGGTTGTGAAAACAAGAGAATTTCCTTGATTTGCATTGTTTTTCATATGCTTTTAAAGCTTCAACTTGGAAAGTCACTTACCAGAGAGGAGTTTACATATTCCCCGAGATTAAGTTACCAGATGTGATTTTAAAGTATAATGCAAAATAACCTGCCTGATATCAGCATTACATCTCTGACAGGAATGCTGTCAGAAAGGAGAATAGTCTGTTAGAGACACTCTCTTTAAATGTGTTTCTCTGCAACTGGTCACTGAAATTGACAGTGATTTCCTGCACAATGTAGACTTTCTCCATTTCATCTTTAATTTCTAAAATGGTGTCACTTGTGGGTGAATGTGGGTCTCTGCCATAGAACTAAATGCCCTTCTGTTTCTTTTCAGTGCCTATGAATACAATCACCTACGAATGCCAGCCAGACCACACCTCCCTGGACTGCTGAGATTTATTAGAAGGACAGCTCCCTGCGGTGCCAGCAAATCTTGAATCTCTGGCGAATAGACAATGTGCAGGCTGAGGAATAGCACCATCATGAATTCACACATTCACAGTAGGTTTTGTCTCATTATCTTTTATATCTTTGGGGATGAACATTTCTTCCCAATGCTAGTAGGTCAGACTGCCCTTAGGAACTGTGATATAAAATGAGAGTCCTAGAAAATTAGCCTTTAAAACTCTTGAAATGCTCCTCTTCCTTTTCACCTTCCTCAACTAACTGTTTTGCTTCCCTCTGTTCTAATTGCTTAAATACATAGTTATTTTCATGGAAATTACTGTGTCTTTTAAATCATTTGGAACAGTTGGTTTTCTTCGGCTCCCCCACTACTCAAAAACCAGAGAGGTCTTGCTTCCCAACATTTTCGTTTTCTTCTGGAAACTTCAGGAATTGAATTAGGCAAGGATTCAGAACTGAGAGATAGTAGAAGGGACTTTATGTAAACAGAGAATAAAAGGTTAGGATGAGGAAGAATCTCCATGAGAGTGAAAATAGCCAATGCCTCCAATTATATCCAACTATGTGCCCACTTCACTGAGGGGCCCTTCAGACCTTAGCTCCGGGAAAGGAAAGGGGCAGCGTTAGCATTTCCATCAACAATGTCAGGACTCTCCTAACCAGCCCCTCCTCTCCCCAGTATCTCTCTTATCAGTCTTCCAAGGTGTCAGAAACTCTTGATAATGCCTTTCTTTATCTTCAAAAACACAATGTAGAAAATGTTGATTTAAGGTAATGAAAATTTTTGTTGGAAGGCAAATACCTCCTCTATGAGGAGTAACTTATTAAACCAGTGTCACCCTAGAAAACAATAGGTTATCAGATTGCTATACTCAGTTAACAGAATCCCAGGAGAATGGGATGAAGGAAAGGTCAGCTTTGAAGAATGTTTGGGGTACAATCATTAAGGGATCACTTTGTAGGTGGTTATTTTGGAAAGATGAAAGAGAGAAAGGGTAATGCTTAGAAGGAGAAGACAGAGGGAAAGGAGAATCTATAAGAGACCTTTACTTAAAATCTGAGGGAATGCTTGTGTCTTCGTTTTTCATGGATAGGTGGACACATAAATGGGAGTCTTAAAGAATTCAGCATTTATGGAATTAGAAAATAGAGAACTAAAAATACTAGTTTCATGTTGCTAAACTGGTCATGCTTTTATCTTAAATTACAAATAGGCAGAAGGGGCTATCCTTGGCTTTTGACCTAGTGAACAGTGTGTAAACCAATCCACAGAGACACTAGGGATAGCCTCCCTGACTACATTTTTCTGTAATCTGAAAGACCAAAATCTGCTTTCCTGTTTACAACTGAAAGAGAATGTTGGAGAGAATTCATGTTGGGATTGGAGAAAATTGTTTAGCTCACAGGCATCCATCTGAAGCAGTGGTAACCTTTAGTTATTATTTAATAGCATTATGCTAATGAGATAAAGCAAACTTGATAATGTCTGTGGTTGCTTGTCTAATCTAAAAGATCACATGCTTTTGCCATTTAGCTATTTGTCTACAATGAATCTTCAAAGAAAAGAAGAGAAGAAAGGTTAAAAAAAAAGGTCCATTTTCACAGTTGTCATCAGGTTTGGTGGGAAGGAATGTTAAAAAAATCTCAGCAAAAGTCTAATTTGGGATGATCAGCTGATTTAATACATCTATACTTTCTCTTTCCCTAATAGCCAAAATAATCAAGTGTTGGCTGTTTGACATGCTGGAAATGTCACATGTAGTCAATAGACAGCAGTCATTATTATTGTGTAGTGACGTGTTTTGTGAGGAAATGCTGAACAAGTAGAAAAAGGAAATGAACTGTACTTCGATGAAAAGACTAAGACAACCCAATCCATAGTAGAAATTGAAAAGAACAGTCTTCTCATCAAAATCAATAAAAAGGGAACTGCATGATATTTTATTGTATACTTTGTCTAGATCATCTGATTAAATCTGGAATTATGGAAACACAATATCTAGAAAGTTAATTTTTTTTTTTTTTTTTTTGGTTAGGGCAAGTGGAGATATTGTAATTGAGATGGTATTAACCATGGGATTTTTCTAGAAGGCAAGAAAAGGCAGAACACCATTAGTTCCATGAATAGTACACCTTGTTGATAGCATACAATCTATCTTTACAAAAAATATTTCCATGAAATGTGGCTCATTTCAGTTAAGCCTCTGCCTTTGGCTCAGGTCATGATCTCCAGGTCCTGGGATGGAGCCCTGCCTTGGGCTTCCTGCTCAGCAGGGAGTCTGCTTCTCTCTCTCTCTCTCTCCCTCTGCCCCTCCTCCCTGCTCGTTCTCTCTCTCTCTCTCAAATAAATGAAAATCTTAAAAAAAAAGATGTGTCAAATTGAAAGATTTCATTGCCAGCTTGGTTTTTAGATGGTGGATTTAAGTGTAATTTGAAAGGGAATCTTGTTAATTGCACTCTATTTGACGGGACAAATACAAAATTATGTCAAAATGAAATTGAGGCCTCATTTCTTTCATCCAGTAATTTGTGATTTCTATTTTTTAAAAATATCAAAATTGAAATGACTATCATTAGCTAATTTTGTGTGCCTCATAGTAATACCTTCCAACCCCCACTTAGAAACTGAGACACTTCCAAATTTAATAGCAACATGGGGCGAATGGCAGGCAGAGTGACATTTTCTGGGACTCAAGTATTTCCTAGTATTTGGTCACAAGTGTTCAGTATCTCCTTCCAATAATAAACATAAAGCTAATTTCCTGTTCTCTCCTGAGTGTGATATATTTGTCACTCTCTTAACTGTTCCCTTTCAGCCAGAGGACCCAGCCTCATTTAGATGAGTCATTTTGTGAGGTTCTGAAGCAAGGTGCTAGCGGAAACAAAACAAAACAAAACCCCGAAAGCTGTTCCAAAAGGGATTTTGTCATCACAGTTTATACAGCTAACTGATGATGGCAAATCTTAGGGCCTGAAAGAGGCAGACACTTGAGTAAAAGTGAGCAAAATGGAACTGTCACATCCACTATCTTCATACAGTTTTCCAACGTGTTTGCTGTAATAAATTCTTTTTAAAAAGACATCATTAAGTTCTTTATAAAAACAAAATGTTTCTAAAAAAAAAAAAAAAGCCCAAAAAACTTTCTGACTTTATAAAGTACACATGACTCTAGCATAATGTGAAACATCCAGACTATCATAATAAGATTAGTGACCTACAGCTAGACAGCCAGACCATCTATCTATCCATAAATGTTTTAATGTAAAATTTACTATAAAATTTAAATACTTAAAAGAATTTTAAGAATGGAAATATGTGGGCAGAGGATCCGCTTATCCAATGTAAAATGGTGATAACGTGGAATTCATGGTAAGGAAAGGGAGGGGTTGCTTCCAATCATCATCAAAACACACACACACACACACACAAACCTACAATGGATTAAACTGGTCTAGAGCAAGGTAATTTACTTTTTCCAAAGTTAAAATCCCTTCCAGTATCTCCAACTGCACTTTGCTTCTTTCATAGTTTCCATTGACTGAGCTTCTGGCTGGGACTGACCCAAACAAAACTGGTAGGTAGGGCTTGTCTTTGTATTTTCCAGTTTGGCATCATATTTTCCAGGTTTTCGTACTGCCTCCACTTACAAGAGCTCCTCTTCTTTGATGCTTGTTCTTGAGCCTGACATCTTCGTTTTACGCAACATTTTACTCTTCTAACTTCCATCAGAAATTATTTTTTCTGTGTGTTCTCTTGAAGTCCTCAAGGTGACTGAAGGCTAGTATGTATCATAATGCTTGGTGCTAAGATTTCAAAGGACACTTATGCCTTGGTGTGTTTGCAGGCCCCTATTTTAAAAGGCCACTTGGGGCCATTGTTTTGTAATCCAAAGGATTGATTCTAATGGTGAAAGTTGGACATCTGTGGGTGGATGTGTCTTTGTTTCTTTAAAACATGCCTCCTAGTTGACTGCCTACTCCACTAGGTCTCAGGAAGGCCACCCTTCCTCCTACTTAAACAGTAAATCACACAGGCTCCTACCACAAACTGGAATACATCCTCAGTGCAGGTGAGTGGATCCTACTGTTTCTCTATGACAGGCGCTCTGGCCAGGGCTTCTCAAGAAGCATGACTCAGTGTTAACTCTAGTAAGAGGTCATTGCTGACTCTGTAAAATTTATGGACACTATAGGCATCAGCTGTTTTCTCCCGTCTCAGTGGCTTTACCCTTCCTTTGCATTGTTTCCTAGAGGAGGCATCATCAGAAGCAGCTAAAGTGACAACAGTGGATTAACCAGAAAATTTCACATTAAACCTTCTTTTTCTTCTACGGTAGACTCTTTCCAAGTGTGAAGTTGCCATCCACAGGATAGATGATCTCTTAAAATCTTGGAGAGAAACATCTTTCAACTGTGTTTGTGGGGAATAAACATAGCACAGAAAAAGAAAATCTGGGACACTCTTCTTCCTAATGCACTTGGCTGCCTGGTTGCCTGACTTACAAAAACAGTTGGAGCTATAAATGTTAAATTTGGCTTAAAGAAGTCTTCAGTGAGAAATACCACCCTGAATTTTGAAAAGGGAAAAAAAATTAAAACTATTATTAAAAGTTAATGTGGTTAAATTTACAAGTCTGCGCGTGTGTAAATTCAACACTTCAATCTGCTAATTTGCCAAGGCATAATTAACTCACAGTCTATAAATGCACTGAGATGCTCGGGGAGAAACATGTGGTCTTCTCAAAATTTATGGGAGTTGGAAATAATCAATTCCCGCCTTCAGGGAGTTTGCAGTCTAAGAGGTAAAAAGATCACGATGTATAATTTATAAGCAGACATTAGTGTAAGCAAACTGGAAAATATCGAGGGGCTTAATTAGGAATTAGGTTTGCAAGTTGGGGTTTCTTGCATTCAGAGGTGGGCATCTGAATTATTACTTCAGTCGTGGGAAGCATCTGACATATTTAGTGGAAGAGCTGACGGCTGTTTCCATGACTTGAGCGCTTTAGAAAGCTTTAGGCTCTTGGAGCCTCTGGATTAATGTAGAAAAATGAGGGGCACCTGGGTGGCTCAGTCGTTAAGCGTCTGCCTTCGGC